ATGATGTGAATGGCTTCAGGGATATATGATTAAAACGTATTGCAGGAAATTTTCATAGTTCAAGTATGCTGTTATATAACAACGCTCTCTATAGTTCAATGGTAGATAAATGAGTCGTGGCATACAATATTCTTTAGATTTATCCATTACATGATATCATTATCGAGTCTTTATTTATTGTATAATGGCATTAGCGTTTTAGAGTGTTTCAGGATTAGACTATAAAAGGTTCCTTCTGTGAAAGAGATTTCACCCCATCAAGCCAGCGAGCTCCCCACAAAGCTACGAGCGACACCGGATGCAACCAATTCTTGCAAATACAGTCATCCTTTGTACCCCGCGTCGCCATGGCAACCGACCGGAGCCTGATTTGTGGCACCACGCGTCCATATATCCCGCGTTTATCCGCGCCGTCGACCGTCACGAATCGTGACGCCGCGCTTTTCATAAATTTCCCGTCGCGGATTTCCTGCCTGCGATGACTTTTCACCTTTGCTCCGCCCGGCAACCGGACCGCCGCCTGCCCCTGCCGCATCCCACTGCCCGCCTCCCCACTGGGTGGAACCCGCCATCCTCACTCCACCCTCTGACCTCCGCCAGCCCTCCGCCCACCTTTCCTTCCCCCCGCTCTCCACTTTCCTTCTGTCTTCTTCGCTCCTCCTCAATCAGTCATATGTCCTCCGCTCTCGTCTCTCTACCCTCAGCTCCCCTTCCCCCATCCTTCCTCGCCCTCCTCTCTTGTCCTTCCTTCCACCACCTTCATTCTCCACCCTCTCCGCCCTCAGCTTTACGACCTCTGCTCTCCTCCCTCTGCCCACCTCACACCTCCCTCCTCCCGCCTTCCTCCATCACCTCGTCCCTCCTCGTCCTCTCTCGTCCCTGCAGCCTCCCTTCCCCTCCTTTCCCTTTCCCAGAGCCTCTCTGGCTCCTCCGTCTCTACGTCCTCCTTTCTCCACCCACATTCTACCACCCTTCGCCTCCTTCCGTCACCTTCAACCATCTGAACTCTTCCCTCCTCTTTCCTCCCGCCCTCTGCTGTCCGCCGCCCTACCGTCTTCCGCTTTCTGCCTTCCCCCACTGGTCTCCATTTTCCGCCCTCAACCCTCCCCGCTCCGCCCTCCTCCTTCTTCCGTTCTCCCTCCTCGCTCCACTTTCTGCCCGCCACCCTCTTTCCTCCGCCCTCTTCTCTTCACCATTCGCTCTTTTCTGTGAACTTTTCGCCCTCTTTCCTCCATCTGTCCCTCTTTACACCCATTCTCTATTCCCCTACTCTTCACCCTCCCCTTCTATCCATAGGACATCATTTTCATCCACCGCACACAGTGCGCTTCCTATCGCCCACAGCTCCACTCTCCGCCCACTGTCCACCGCCCACCTGCCTTTTCCCCTGCAATTCCCTCGCAGCAATGTTGGAACTATCAGGTTGCCGCCACTGGATAATTCCATGTAATGCGTTCTATTTATGGAATTCACGTGGGGCAGCATCGTTAATGCTCTTTCAATTGATACAGAATTGAACGCTGTGACCACTACGAGCATTTTTTATATCAGTAAAATGTGCCGCGCATTAAATTTCACCTAATGAATGAAGACCAAGCGGCTTGTATTAGGTAGCATGTGTTCGTGAAACCCAATTGATTCAAATATAGTGATGAAAAATAAAGAATCAAAGTGCATGTTACAGCACGTGTGATGTATACATACAAATTATTTTCATCTCTCCTGTAAATACTAATAAAAATGAAATACTTTTGTTCCTCACGAAGGTGAAAATGTAGTTAAAATATATGATAATTGATTAAAACTTACGTGCTGAAATCCGAGCGGCTAAATATTTCAATTTATCACCTTATAAATAGTAGTTTCAGTGTTTATCTCAAAGGTTATTATTCATAAATAACATGTTAAAAATAACCATTCTCCGCATTGATGTTTGGGTATAAGAGAATATCAGAAGCATTCACATCAGTTAATACTGCGGAAGATCATAAAATAAAATTATCGGTTTATTCTTATTGTAACGTAAATGTGTTGTATTTCCACACAATCGCTTCATTTACAATTTTAATACTAAGGAATCCAAAACGCGCGTCATGTTTTGGGATTCGTAGCCGATTTTAGCTACGCTAAATGAGAGATCGTCCACTCAGTCCAAAGACCGCCCGAAGCGACGTCTCCTGCCCCACAGACAACACATTGCACGCGCGCACGCCTCGCCCGTCCGTGACTTCCGCCCCATCAGACATCGCCAGCGCGGCAGGAGCACGCGCGCCTCACGCGACCCGACACGAGAGGGCATGTCGATAACGTCTTCGCCGCCGCCGCCGTCGCTGCGCTGCCGGCCGCGCCTACTAGGCGCGGCTCCTCCCACCCGCACGCCAGCCACGCGCGTCGCTGGCTGCTCTTGACACTCGCGCCTTCCGCCCTCACGCCTCGTCAGGTCTTCCTTCTGCCCTCGCGCCTCGCCTAATGGAGGGAATCTCCCGCTCCACTTCTTCCTTTTGCACTCACGCCTCTTCACTTCTACCTTTTGCCCTCACGCCTCTTCACTTCTTCCTTCTGATCTCACGCCTCTTCACTTCTTCCTTCTGCCCTCATGCCTCGCCAAATGGGGTGAATTTTCTTCTTCACTTCTTGCTTCTGCCCTCACGCCTCTTCACTTATATCTTTTACCCTCACGCCTCGCAAAAGGGGGGAATCTTCCTCTTCACTTCTTACTTCTGCCGTCACGCCTCACCAAGTGGTAGGAATCTCTCACTCCCGTTCTTCCTTCTGCTCTCACGCCTCTTCACTTCTACCTTTTACCCTCACACCTCGCCAAATGCAGTGAATCCTCTTCACTTCTTCCTTCCGCCCTCATGCCTCTTCAATTCTTTCTTCTGCCCTCGCCAAATGTCGGGAATCTTCCTCTTCACTTCTTCCCGCTGTCCTCTTGCCTCGCCACACAGGTGCTCTTTTTCTTTTCGATTTTTCGTCGCCGGTTTAGCCTTTCGGGTGCACTGTTCTGGTGCAAGTCGTCCAACGTCCGCTCTTGGCTCACCTCTGCGTTCATCCTGCGTATTACCTCAAAGACTCTCCTCTGCCGTTCTTTGTCTCTCTCCGAAATCGTAAATCCTTTATCACGGCGCTTCTTTTCGCGGTAAAACGCTCTTTCTTTCGAATCATCGCGATGAGTGGCGCCAAACTGCCGTCCCACGCGTACTTCACTACACGGGGTGCGCGGGAGTCTCAGCATATTTTATTCTATCGTGGGCGGCGGCTGTCAAATACACGCGCTTCCCTACGTGCGCACTTGGCTGCGTAGGGAATATTCACCGCTTGCAGGCTCTCATCCATCTGGCCAACTTCCTCTCATGCAGTAGAACCTCGCGAATCCAAACCCTGCAAATCTGAAATTTCGGATAATCCGGACAAAATTCGGGTTGAATGAAAAATAAACAAAATAAATAAAATGCTTATTTGTAGTGTGAAGAAAGGATTTTAAAATTACTGTCAAACTAAACAACTAATTATTGAAAAAAAATTGTCGGAATGAAACGTTTATTGCACTAGTAACTACTAGTGTGTATGTTTACGGAGCAGTTATTTTCACTTAGATTATCTTGCAAAATCGGTAATCTTCTTTTGTCGGAAGGAACCGAATCTCCTTAATGATGCAACGTGACGATGTGATAATGCGATAGCGAGACAACGTCGCCATTTTCTCACATCGCACGCTACGTTGCATTATCTGATAATCCTATTTACATATGTATGGTACACTTTTCGAATAATCTGAACATTTCCGAATCTGAACAGACCAGACCCCCAACTAGTTCGGATAACCGGGGTTCTGCTGTATTTTCCTTTCGCCCGCTACTCCATTCGCAGTTTATTTCTCCCCCTCTTTTCGACTCTTATGCAAATACATTCAGGCCATCTTTCTTTCTAATTTCTTTTCCCCCCTACTTGGAACTAAATTTTGCGCTTGCTCACTTTCTTCTGGACACGCGCATATATATTTTAATATTTTGTATTGGAATTCGTTTTTTGCATTTTTATGCTTCGCCTTACAATTTGTTACTTTTGACCATTTCTGTATGTAATTGCGCCTTTCCTTCTACCTGTTTATTCTTAAACATATTTTTCCGTTTATCTCATATCTCATCGCTTTTCTCATTATACCTTACTGATTGGACCCGTGCGAACAATTGGCGCGTATTAATTAATTGTTTTAAAAGTGAAGAAAGCTTCACTGTGGAACTCCGAACGTTATTTAAACGACCGGGCGAATTTCGTTGGGTCAACATACGTGTATCCTGGTGCTGATATTCTCTATTCACTTTGCGTACCTTGCCACACATTTGCTTTGGCTACATTCTGTACAATGCGATTTGCAAATTTTTTGCGTGAGGGTCGTCGGTGAATAATTCATTTAGTCCGTGCGCAACGGCACGGCATGACGTTAAACGATTAAATTCGACACAAAAGTCCGAAGTAAAATCTTTTCTTCTGCACAACGGTTTCTATACAATTAGAGACTAGACCGAGCATCCAAAAAAAGTAATATTAATTTTAACAATGATATTTAGAGTATTATTTACCATTTGGATTGTATAATTGTAAAGAACCTGTAACAAGTTTTGTACTTCAGCTTCTGGGCCAATAACCCCCATCTCGATCAGGTTTTTGTCCAGTTTCCCTGATCCTCGAGCAAATGCTGAGATGGCCTCTGGTTTTGCTTCTGGACATAAATGTAACTTCAAATTAACTTCTCCCCATAGCACGTCACACACAGTTTTTAACTGTTTTAACGTAAAGTTGTTAACGTAATTTCGAAAAATATCGACTAAATAAAGGTATGTACAGCTTTCAGGATATGATTTATACTTACAATTATTCGTTAACTCTTCTCCATTTTGTTTAATTTTTCTTGTAATTAATGTTCAATTGGCCGGATTATAGGTTTTTGAAATTATTTCATTTATGTTACTGTATATAATTTTATCTTTTATTTTCAGTCGTATTTTGACTCATATTTCTAGTACACCTCAGTCCGAAGCTATTTCAAGTAATGTAGATGGAAGAAGGGTAAACCAGACAGCACTTAATCGTAGCTCTAAGCCCTACTCCAGTTAACAGATAATGAATTCAAATGAAATAATTTTAAAATACCTCACGCATTGCATACAGTATAGTACGTTTTTTAAAACTGGACGTTAATTTTAAGAATTACATTAACAGTAAAGGAGAATGAATCTTTCGTATATTTTTGCGTAGATAAACTCAGATTTATAGAGGGAAGGGCCGTTATAAATTTGGAAATACGAGGAAAACTTCTTTCAGAAATGTAGTCTAGACACAATGTGAAATATTCATATAGTAAAGAAAACAATAAATATTAGCCTTCGTTTAAATTTTACTATATTCTACACCAAAAAATCAAAACTACTGGTGAAAAAAAATACGGATCTTCGTGAGTGAACCAGGACTACCTACATTGTAGAGATAATGAATGCATTTTCTTGTGACATATTTTATCTTCGATCCGTTGCTTTTCTATTCATCACGTTTCCTAACACTTCATAGACACTTTCAAAGGAAGGGAAGACGACTACGGGCACTCACGCTGTTTTTTCTCTGTACATGATAAGAAAAGGAGGTATTGTGTCATGGTGTAGGACTTGTATTATTAGGACTCTTCTTTACTCTAAGCGATTGTTCCTTCTTTCAAAGCTTTTCTACTGTCGACAAAGTAACTCCAAACGATCGCCATGCTTTGTAGAAGCTCCGGCGTTGTCTTATTGCCAAATCTGTCCATAAACACATTGCAGTTTTGTTTTGGTGTCCTACGATGTAGATAACAGTTATGTTATCGGGCCAACATTGTGAATGTTGAACATTTTCTTTAAAAAAGAAGGATGCCATCTCTCATTCCGCGAAAGAGGACACCAGGTACAGTAAATGATCAAACTATGATGATGTAACAACACATGAATATACTACAACAAGCTTGCAGATAATGATTAATATATATTGCTAAATACACGCATGAATAGTTCTGAAATATATGAATTTCCTTCTACGCCAACCTTATTACATCAATGCTATCACCTCCAATGATATTGCAGTTTATTCTGAGACCCACCGTTGACCCGCCCTTTTTAATGGTATTATCCAGGTAACAGAGTGGCATTGGGTTACGGCTGTTAACTACTTTTATTTATTTATTTTTATTATTTAACGTCAAAAACAGTTGAAAACTTAGTTTGACGTACTATGAGAAGAAGAGTATTCTGTGCAGTTCTCTGAAATTCTGGGATCCCTACTCTTACCCATATACAAGCTGAATTCTGAATACAGATGGAAAAAGCACTTTTGGCAAGAATTGATAAGAAAAATTTCCTCCAGTGTAATAAAAAGGGGTTACAAAAGTAAATCGGCTATAGATTTTTGCTTTTATCCCTCATCGTGCCCTTCGTGAAGCAGTCAAATCTCTGCCATTAGAATATGGAGAACTATAATTTTAATAATTAAATTACCCACAACTCGAGATGTGCACAGTGAAGTTACATTTATGTCCAAATATCTTCCGTCACAAGGCATAATCTAATTTCCCCATTCCATACAACAGGTTAATGGTGTTCTGTCGACTATGATACGGCAAATGAATTTTCCAGAAAGACGTACCGGTGCAATGTAATTTATAAATCATATGATAAAAAATATCAACAGTGATTTATATACACGAAATTGTACAACACTTCCTCCGTTTACTAAAAATATTTCACAGAAATGAGTAATATCTTCGCAAACGACGAGGGCTATATGAATGTGATTACTGTTCAGTCGTCTACGACACACAGAACAAATTTCTTTCAAATATTCCGGGAACAATTCCATTCAAATTCCACGAAATAAAGAAAAATTCTCGTATCACAGTAGGATATTCGATATTCAAAGCCCTTTTGAGGTACAAGGACGTGTCTTCACTCTTTTCTCTTTTGACTACCAGTTTCCGATCTCCAAACGCTTATTCTACCACTCTCTCAAATCATTGCTATCAGCTTTCCCGTTGAATAGGTAACGCGCGTCAATGGTGTATTCAATGTATTCAATGATACACAGGTCAAATAACTTTCCCTCAAATAGCACAGACGTATGTGTATGACGAATAGAATATAAATTTCACGTAGTAAAATATATCACAGTTGCGTTCACAATTGCATTTACAACTCTGTAAAAGGCAAGGTAAAAACAAAGGCAATAATATTTTCAGGTGTCTTAGAATAAATGTCACAAACTTCTATTGGACATAGAGAGGTGAAAGTGATCACTTTTTACCAATAAACATACGTATAGTGAGGAATTTTAAATAACAAAGCTGTACTTGTTGCATTTGACTCATTTCTTTATCCCATTGCAATTGCACAGATGGGTACTTGAAATCTCGACTGTTTCACCTGTAAAACATCGTGCATTTAGAATTTCCTGATAATCAGTGAAATATATCGTAATTACGTGTATCTCCATTATATTCTCACTAAACATTCATTTGTAAAAAATAGTAATTTTTTATTTCTCTACACGTCCTAGAAGTTTGTAACGTTTATCCCGAGACACTTGTGCATGTTTTATTTTTGGATCGTCACACACACACACACCTTTCACTGTCCCCCGTAGTGCGCGATCCGAATACGCGTCGACGAGCTTATTCTTCCCCCTTCGCACGATATTGCAATCAGCGTTCCCGCGCCCTGGACAACGGGGCGAGCGGTGCTCTGCCGCCTACGATACACGGGACAAACGACTTTCCCTCGAACGGGCCCAGCACAATGGCGGCGCGCCGGGCAGCACCGGGTCGCGCGTCGCTGCGCAGCCTTTGTGCCCGTGGATGACGCCACGTGCGGCCTCCAGCCCCGCGCTTATTGGCTCGCGCCGCACGCGCCGCCCCCGCCCACGCCCCCGTGGCTGGTTTCGCACCCTCGTCGCTAGAATATATGAGAGCGCTTCGTTCCCGAGCTTAATGAATTGAACGAGAGCGATTTTATTGCCGTTCATTTTGTTTTGATGTCAGTTATATGCCTTAGTTTTGTTCTGGGCGGGATAATGTCATAAAATTAATTTTAATTACCTTAAAACATGATTAGGTTGTATGTTGGTCGCTGCCTCTGTAGAGAACGTGAAACATTTTCCATGAAATGTGAAACCGGAGCAGAGGATGAACGGGCATTTGGGTGCAGATAATGAAGCAAACAATTTACATTATTTTAAGAATTACAAACCTTACATGATGAACTGTGTAGTTGTACATGTAAAAGACAATCTAGTTGTGAAGTACGGACGTTTCCGTATTAGTAATAATTTGATTGGGATAGGCGTATTCAACAATATTGCAGCAATTCGTTTTGGTTTTGATTTTAAGAAAGCTGGCCTGAAGGTATTTTAGGGAACTACGTTGTTTCATATAACATTTACGCGAGACTATTCACTTTAATTCTGAACCCTAAATATCGAACGTGATGTCCCTTAGTCGTACAACTGCCAACTAACTTTATTAAATTATCCACTTGTGGGCATTATATCTTCTGATTGACTGAACACCGGTGTGTGTCCTATAGATTATGCGTAACATGGGTGATTAATTTCTATTAAACATGGCAACTCCTGTTTGGAATGTATCGCAGAGTTATGACACCTCTGATCTCTGCACCCTGTCATCATATATATCCACACATCCCACTGCGCCAGCGACGCCGTCTGCGTATATGAGAAACTCGTGATCGCGTAATGGCTTCTTTTCTTCACGCATACCTTCACCTTCCCAAATGCATCAGCGATATTGGTAATATTCTTTTTTTAAATATTATTCCCTACGGGAAGAAATTCTGTGGTACACATAATACACGTATTACATGTAGGTTCTATATTAATAATAATAATACTGAAGATGAGATATCGTAACGAATATGAAGAAATTGATGTATTATTGATTATTTCTTTATGAAACAATTAATATATTACGAAGCATCTATGACATCGTTAGTGTCTGAAACAAATATCTTATATACATAATCATTCTCTCATACAATTTATTTTATTAGTGTTTTGTGAAACGTTTATACGCTTATATATCTATTTCCAAAGTCTAGAAATAGGCATTAAATAAACCACCGCAACTGTCCTTCCCCCTTGGGCATGGTGCTAATGACGGTGTTGCGGCGAATATTTGCGTTTATGGTGCTAATGAGGTCGCCAGCTGCTTTGGACGCTCTGGAGCTTCTTCCCCGTCAGTCACTGCGCTCGATCAATCCGACCACCTCTGCGACAGACACGGCGCGTAATGGACTTCCACTACATTGAAACACAAGAACTTTAATCCCTAGTTTCGAAAATTTAATAATTGAATCGGAGATAACAAAAACGTTCGATGTCGTGCAGTTTCCAATTTTGAAGAGCAAGCAAAGAGGTTCTAAATTCCGGGCATCGATCATTTTTTCTTAACATTAATAGTTGAACACTCTACAGACGTCACTGAGTTCACAGACAACGTATGTTGAATTTATATTTTAAGGAGTTTTTCAGAGTAAACTCAAAGCCGGCAAAATGTAACATCGACATTTTTTTGCGTCGATTCAATTGTATAGATTTTTAAAACTCCGTAAGGTAATCTCTTTATATTTTCGCTTTTTTTGGAAAATATAAGCTGCAGGAAGGATGCATCATTCCATGAGTAAATCGGGTGAATCAGAATAATAGATGACCGTGAGGACAACGTTTTGGTTTGGTTTTTAAACTCTGTAAGTCATTGACATGCGGGGTGTGTATGACTGGATTATTACTGTCAGAGAGTTTGGTTAAAAGGTATGTTGAATACAGATATATTCCTACCTACTATCATAGAAATTTATATATAGTTGTTTCTGTCATATGAATCATGTTTGATGTAGATGCACATTGTTATTTCCAGTATAATATTGTAATAAATATGTCAACTTACACATTGATCTGCAATGTGTGTTAATTACATGTTTAGGTCAACAATTCCGGGTTAGTTTTTGAAATACCGTAATTCATAAACTTTTAAATAA